TCTTCACAGTGGTCCTCAGCAGCATGGCAATGCCAAATGACCCTCATGCAATCTAGTGATTGGCAAATGTCTAGCCAATAGCATTACTAAAGAGGAGCTGGAGAGAAAGAAACTGGAAGATACAACCTGGTAACTGAGAGGCCATAAAAATACCCTCTGGGGACTCCCAAATGTAATTATATGTTGTACTTTGCAGGAGTGTAGAAATCCAGCTGTAGCAAATGAGACCCAAGATGGAGAAATATCATTTATTAGATTACACTGGCCTACAGAAAGACAGACTTCATAAATATTTTCATTTTGACATACATGCATATTTAGCTTTGTGCTCGGCAAAAACTATTTTATTCCTTGATTACTATAGAACTCTGCTGTTTATGCAGAATTATCTGGAAGACTATTATTACATTTTTCTCATTTTAAAATTCTTCCCTAACTATTCTAACATTATTATTGTCTAGTTTAATATTTTATTGCTTGTGTGTATTTTTTCTTTTAAAATTCTGCAGAGATCTTGAGCTTCTAAAAAAATGTGTAACAAAAAACCAACAATGAATTCCATGGGAATATTGAGATATGTACAAAGTAGATACCAATTTTTACAGTTCTCATTCATGCTTACCAATATTCATGACTGTCCCTTCAAAATTAGTTAAAAGTTCACGACGTTTTATGTGTGTCTCCTTCCTTTATCCCTGTTCCATAGATATTGACTCATTCTTTTGTCCTGATCCAAAGGAAATATAGAGCATCCACAGAAAATTCATTGTGGTCCCTGTATTGGTGAAGTCATGACCTGGGAGACAATCAGGTGAATGTGTCTGTGGAGACCAGGTGCTGTATCAGAGATAAAAGGGTCCTTTCACTCTATGTCATTCACGGTGTACATAAAAACTGGAACAGATGAAGGCTAGATGATGAATTGCAGCAGAAGGACAGAGTAAAGGATATGAATCATTAAGATTGTTCATACACGTATAATCATCCACTTGGAACTCAAGCCATGGAAAGACAGCTTCTATGATCAGTCCTAAGATTGCCATAGGTAGCTCTTGCAAGTAAAGAGTAGATATGGGTATGTTTCTTTGCAGCGTTAACAGTTTATTCTCACTGAAAGATATTTTTCTCGGGGTATGAAGCAACACATTTGCAATTTCTAAACCTTCCAAATGGGGATAATAATAATACCTATACTATGGGAGTGGCAGAGTAAATGTTATTAAATGGAAAGTGCTTAGAACAGTGCCTGGTACCACCCCCCCCCCCCAAAAAAAACTATTGTTGTTGTTATGATTTAAAGTAACATATTTCTAGGGATGATTCCATTAAGAATCAATTTTTTACAATGGTATTACTGCTTTTCAGGACTTGGATAAATTCACTATTGCTTTCTATACTTATTAAATAATAATAGCACAAACGCTGGTAGCCGTTTTACTACCCATTTCTAGAAGTTTTAGTCTTTTTTGTTTCATTTCAGAATATTCAGTGGTTTTTCAACATACCCTGAAGAAACGGTAATATGAAAACTATGGCATCTTATTTTAGTAAAAATGCCTTTAGTGAATCCTTTGGACACTGCTTCTGAAGTCTAAATTACATTAGAATTCATTCTATGGAAATGTGATTTATGAGGCAATTCTTTCCTGAAATTTGGTTGATATTCTTTTTGTGTAAAAAATGAGAAGCTCAGTTTTAATCTGAAGAATTATAGAAGTGCCTCTCTCAAAATGGCATGTTTTGGCCTCTTCCCACTAAGTGAGTCAGTCAAGATGAGCATGCTCATTTTCTTGAACAGACATGTGTTCATCCTGTGCTTAATGACACAATCCAACTGAATCTGAACTCACATACATCATCAATTAAAAACTATGAAACTATAGCCTTTTGTCCAGTTCGCTGACCCATATCTTGGATTAGGGACCCCACTTAGAATATGCTACTCACTATAAACTCCCTCCCTCTAATTCTTAAAGTTATTTTAACATTCTTTAACGTAAAATATGATTTGCTGACTTAATATATTCAATCATTTGTTTCATGTGCCAAATATCGTATAGATACCTCCTGGGGACTACAAATGTCCTAGCGACAGTACTTGGTCTCAAAGAGCTTGTAGTCTTATAGGGGAGACAGATATTTAACAAATCTGTGACAACGGATATAATAGGAGTACAAAATAGATACAAAAAAGGGCAGAGGTGGGAAGCAATTAATTCTGACTGGAGAAATTATCAGACCTCTTCTCAGAGTATAAGCCCTTTAGCTACATCTGGAAAGATGAGCAGAGGATCCACAGTAGAAGTGAGAGACTTATCCCCAGGGAAGGAGATGAGGGAGTTTGTGTTGTGTGTTCAGGTGGTGGTGAGAGACCCAGGGTGTGGGTCTCCGAAGGCATTTTCACGGGCAAAGCAGAAAGAATGGAACACTGTCTCCTTAATCCTTCTGAACTGCTTTCAAGCTGTTCCCAGTCAACAGAGAAGTTACTACACAAGATGGGTGATAATGAAGAAATTAACATATAAAATACAAAAGTGGGAAAATCAGATCACTTGGCTCTTTTTGGTTTGTAGTCAGAAAAAAATTAAATTATCCATCTTGTAGGCCATGGAATCAATATGAGATGTCTTAATCACCTATCACCCACGACCAAATGAGATTCAGAAATGATTCCCCAGCCTCCTCCTCACACTAAGAAATGGCAGGTGGCGCACACTCAAAAACTGCTCATGACTGGGTTAGAAGATGAGAAGCAGAGCAGAAATAGGAATCAAAGAGTCTAACTGTGAACAATTTTTTTAAACCAATGCTTCCTGATGCCTCTAGAGCAGGCAAACATTCCCAGCACATGTTTTTGCAGTTCCCAACATTTCGTGGGATTTGTTTTCCACGTTTAGTGAAGGTATTCAGGATTAGGCAGGGTAGCAACTTGATCCACTGAATACTCACCTGGAAACTTGTCTTGGAATTCTTTTCTGATGAAGATTAAATTTCTTGGAACAAAGTTGAAACAAAGGTTAGACCTGGGGCCACGTTAAGACTTGTCTATAAGGCATGTGGCATGTGGTATACTTCATACCCTGTCCAAATGAGGTGTGCTTTAGTGCAGCTCGTAAAGTTCATGAGAAACTCAAACACTGTGTGTCTCCCTTTGGAATGCAGCTCTTATCCAATTAGCATGGCCCTGGGAAAGTTACCGGTTCCATTCCACCCATCAGTTGGATAAAAGCAATTTGATCACAGCCAAGTATAGCCCTGGGATTCTTTTAGCTGTTGAGCTGGTACATTCCTGTTAGAGGGAAGATGGCCTAAACTCCAAATAGTGGACTTAAGGAGAATGAGATGAAATATCCCTGCTATGGTGGGCTGACTGCTAAAATAACTCCTAATGCTCTCCGCCTCCTAGTATTTGCGATCTCCTGTAATCCCCTCCTCTTTTGTGTAGCTGGACCTAGTGACCTGATTCTAAGGAACAGAATATGGCAAAAGTGATGGGATGTCGCTTCCAAGATTAGGTTTTAAAAATCTGTGACTCCGCTTTTGCCAGCATGATCTTTTGCTAGCCCTCTTTCTCACTGTATGGATCTCCTTGCTCTGGGGAAGCAAGCTGACATATTTCAAGTTGCCCTATGGAGAGGTCCATATGGTAAGGAATTAGCCAACAGCCCGTGAGTAAATGAGGCCCTCAGTCCAAAAGCCTGGAAGGAATGGCATCTTGTTAATGATCATGCATGTCAGTGAGCTGGGAGGGGGATCTTTCCTCAGTTGCACTTTGAGATGACTACAGCCTCTGAAACTCACTGAGCTGGAGGACCCAGCTAAGCCACGCCCAGATTCTGGACCTACAGAAACCAAGATAACAAATGTTGTTTCAAGTCACTAAGTTTTGAGGTATTTGTTACACAGCAATGGATAACTAATACACCTGCTTATAGAAGTTGTAAGGCTTGTGAGTGGGAGCACAAAGGTTGGAAAAAGAATGCGTATATACATTTGTGTCTGTCTGAGTCACCAACCCAGACAGGATCTTCGTGACAGATGGTCTACATACACTGTTTATAATCACTGCAACAACCTGGCAAGGGTGGTGTTATTCACATATTTTGGATAAAACTGAGGTTATGGAAGCATAGTTACTTGACTCAGAACACATAGCTAAAAGACAACAGAGATGAGACAGAAACTAAAATCTCTGTTACTCTAAAACCTTGGTCCTTCCTCTGCATTAACAGGTCATAAGAGGTAGGGGTGAGGTTGTGGGTAGGGTAGAAATCAGAATCACCTGGAGATCTTCTTTTTTTTTTTTTTTTGCTGAGGAAGATTCACCCTGAGCTAATATCTGTGCCCATCGTCCTGTATTTTCTATGTGGGTTGCTGCAACAGCTGCAGCACAGCTGCAGTGAGTGGTGTAGGTCCGCACCCAGAAACTGAACCCAGGCCGCCGAAGCGGAGCACGCCAAACTTAACCACTAGGCCATGGAGCTGGCCCCCACTGGAGATCTGTTTAAAGCTAGTTTTGTCACTTTCTTTTCTGGAGGTCCTGACACAATTTGAACTGAACTGAACCACACCACACAGAGAGGTTGCACCAAAAGAGCGTCGAACTTAACACAAGTTCAGCTATATCCCATGTAGCTTGGGCCGGTAATCAGAAAATAAAAATTGCACATTTCCAGCAGGTTCTGATTGAGAGTCTGGTAGTCCTTAGACGCCTCCAAGGTATTGAGGAAGGTGATCATGTGACTTTAGCATTCTGGTGTTAGGTTGTTTTAGTTAAGCTAAAAATAAAACACCACCACCCAGAGCTCCACTCTTTGATGGGCTCAATATATAGTCTGACGTGTGTCGGACTCTACCTCACCTATGGCCAGAAGCTGGTGAAATGGGTTTGGCTAAACAAGGACAAGTTGGGAGTAGAGTGGATGAATGGTGAATGTGGATGAGTGGTGAGTGCTGCTTTCATTTGGTGGTGGGAAGAAGATTATGAAACCACGGAAGAGCACGTATCAACGTTGCATCTTAAAAAGATGGGGGTGGCCCTGGATACTCCCGTACTGGCTTCTAGAGCTGAGCAGGGCAGCTGCAGCGTTGATTAGACTCTAAGAACAGGCTGTGGTCCTGTTTCACCAGCTCCTGGGCCAGGTCCAGGATCTCTTTCTACCATCAGCCCTTCAGCTCTGGCAATAGCTTCCCCACTGCGGGCCAGGAGGGCCTGGGTGGGTCTCTCATTGCTCATTGCTGGTCCCAGCCTTACTTCCAGAGCAATGACCTCTTCACATATTTGTGAAGGACATCACAATTAACTGACAAAGGTCATAGTTTCTCCTGGGCAAGGTGACTGTAGTGGCTTCTTCTTCAACTCCTTCCAGTTACCTCATTCCATTTTGCGTAGAGGATTTTTCTAGAGCAGCACTGCCCGGTAAGGTAGCCCCTAGCCACATAAGGTTATGCAGCATTTAAAATGCAGCTAGTGTATAGGGAATATCATCAATAATATTGCAATAACTTTGTATGGTGACAGATTACTAGACTTATTGGGGGGATCATTTCATAATGTATATAAATATCGAATCACTATGATGTACACCTGAAACTAATAGGCTCTTATATATGTCAATTATACTTCAATTACAAAAAGGAATAATTGAAAAAAAATGTGGCTAATAAGACCGAACTGAATTTTTCATTTAGTTTAATTTTAATTCATTTAAATTTAAAAAACCATATGTAGCTGGTAGCTAATGTGTTGGATTGTGCCATTATAGAGGCTTCCATCCTTATGTTATTCTTTTGCTAATTTATTTTTGCTAATATTTATAGAACATTTCCTATGTGCCAGGCACTATACTTAGAATTTTGCATGTATTCATCCAATTTTCACAAAACTTGATGAAGCCGATTATATTATCTACATTTCCCAGAGCAGAAAGTTGAATTTTAGAGATGAAGTACTCTGCCTCAAATCATACAGGCAGGAGACAGAATTCAAAATAAAGTCTATCTGGCTCCAGTCCTGTGTTTCCCATATAGAAGAATGAGGCTAAGTCAGCAGGAATGGAGAGTGAAATAAAATGGACACAAGTCAATTAAAATATAACCATTGTTATAATAGGTTATTTCATTTTATTGCTTATTATAAACACTCTGGCCACAGCAAATATGTTAGTTTTTAAATAACCATAATTCAAAGCTTTCACATCATATACTATCTTCCCCCTATCTTCAATGAAAATAATCAATGAACTCTGAAAGTCTATACTGATAATGTGCACATTTATGCTATCATGACACTAAATACAAATAGTAAAAATACTCATCTATTGTTGGTCTATGGGTTTGTGATATTCCTTAAGGGAGGCCATAAAACAACTCGAAGAAGAGAGATAGTGTGGACTCAAATGGCTCCTATGTGGGTAATGTTTGCAAGACATAAGAAGTATGCAATAAATGTTTATTGACGGTGAAGATGATGAGAATTCAATTTCCTCTGGTCTTTTTCCCTTCATTTTTCTTAAGGAATATATGGTGAATTTGCAACAACATTCTGGAAGTCACAGAGACCCTGGCCCTTTGAATTGCATAGCTGCAGTGTAATTGGTCTGATCACACTTACAGAAGAGAGATAAATTAAAGCATATGTACTGTTAAAATTGTGCTAAAATCTCAGTCACTAGAATAGGCTGGAACTCTTCGATGCTTTGTGTCTTCATAAGTAAGAGTCATCAGTGCTCAAAAATCAAGCAAGTCATTCGAAACAAATCTAGCTTTTAGATCTCACTGGCAGTGAGACCGTATTTCAGTCAGATCGATGTATTTGAAAATAAAATATGCTACTTATATTAATTACTAAGCTTCCTAACTACAAGTAGGGCAACTATAATTTATACCTCAAGACATTTCTGTTGATTGTTTTATTCAGCAAAATTCTGAGCATCATTTTGGGATTTCACTGAATTATGATGATGATGTTAGATTAAACATTTTAGATTTAATTGCAAGGTGACACAAAAATTTGATCATCGATTCCCAATATTTGCTCAACGTGCAATTTTAAATACACGAAAGAACCCACATAAATATATAAATGTTAAAGTCATTTGCGGCAAAGTATGGCAGGTTAGAATTATTTATTAAGAGCTTTTATACCTAAAGGTAGGCACTTCATAAAATTTGGGTTTTGGCAAAAGGCGTTGGTTTGATGTCAATATCTTAACCTTTCCATTAACTGTATTACTTTTTCAAGGGAGGAGATTATCAAAATATTATGAAAGAGAAACATAAATTTGTCTAAGCTATACATGAATAGAATTCCACAGAAGGAAATCCACACTTCATTTTTCCCCTCTCTTTTTTGTAAGCTCCTGTATATCTTCGTTATCAAGTTCTGAGATTTTACTCCCTGATATAAAGTCCCTTGGGAATATTTAGCTTCTTGTCTTTTAATTTGAAGTGAAGTATTTGTTGCTTGTGGAACTTGATACAATTTTTTTTCACAATTGGAATGACCTTGGTCATAACACACTAAATCAGATGATTTTTAGGCGGCAGTAGCTAGCATTGAAGAGTTCTTGGTTTCAAGCATCTAGTGAGTCCCTCTGATCCTGTTTTAACTCTCAAATTAAATAGGTAAGATGCAACTATTCCCGTTGTTTTCATCCTGGGAGGCACAGAAATTCACTTCACATCTACCTAAGACATGACCAGAACTTTTGGGGCCTAATGGACCCATCTACCGTTTGATTTAGCTATCCCTTCTAGAGCATGTCTCTACCAGATAGTGAGCCAGGTTCTGTCTGAAGTCTTGGTAACAGGGAGCTTCACAAAGCAATCTAGTCAGTAAGAAAGCTCCAGGTGCTCTTTCTCATAAACCAAAGTTCCCCCTTGTAACTTCCGACCAGTGCGTCACACAGCGTAAGGCACAGAGTAGGCCCTCAGGCACTTGATCTCCATTTATTGACCAACGAAAGAATGAACAATTCTAGTTCTGACTTTTAAAGCCACACAGAATACAGCTGTTTCTTACGTAATCCAGGCTATTCTCCTGTCTTACATAAATCTTCTCTTTTCCTGGATCAATATTGCAATTTCCTTCATCTGTTCCTTAAGCAACATGATTTTCAGATGTTTTGCTTATCTCGTTACTCTTCTCTGAATGTGCTTACGTTGATCAGAATATCTCTTCAAATGTGGTTCCGTCCAACCAAGCATAATACTCCAGATGGGGTCAGCTCTGAGTAGAGGAGAAGCCCTGTATCTCTTAGCCTGGACATTCCACCTGACGTAGTACCTGGCCCAATAGAGTATTCCTTAGAGCAATCTTTTCCTGTTTCTGGGATGTTCTGTTTCCGAGTAGAGGCATTTTATTCTGGGCAAGATCTATGACTGGCACATATTCTCTTCTGGGAGAAGGATTATTTCCTTGAATTTCCAGGATAAGGAGGGGGTGGAGAGCGCTGTGCTGAAGACTGTGGGGTCGCGGAGTACGGAGGAGGCAAGTCTGCACAGTATTCTAGCTCATGGTCGTAACTATAGGGGGGTGGTGCCACTGAAAAAGAAAATGAAAAGGACATCAGGCATTTAGCAAATATTCGAGCGCCTACTATGTTGAAGCCACTGGGCTGGGTGATTTGGGAGGTGACATAATTTTTGCCTGCAAAAATCTTTGTTTTATCAGGTCGAGCACACAAGTATGAAAGAATGAATACTTGCGCCGGCCCCGTGGCTTAGCGGTTAAGTGCGCGCGCTCCGCTACTGGCGGCCTGGGTTCGGATCCCGGGCACGCACCGACGCACCGCTTCTCCGGCCATGCTGAGGCCGCGTCCCACATACAGCAACTACAAGGATGTGCAGCTATGACATACAACTATCTACTGGGGCTTTGGGGGAAAAATAAATAAATTAAAAAAAATTATAAATTAAAAAAAAAAAGAATGAATGCTATAAGAAGTGGTGCCATTGGCCAAAGTATCTAGAATTGGTGGCTTAGGGAAAGTTCCTTGGAAATATGATGCGGAAGGGGCAAATAGAGAAGGGGCTAAGAGATAATTCAAGTTTGAGCAAAAGCACAGAAGCAGCAGGACACTTTTGTGCAAACAGAAAGTACGTGGAGGGAAGAAATGGGAAAAGACGTTGAGGAATCTGGTTGTATCATCGTCATGATGGGCTTTGACCAATATCACATAAGGAGTGTGTGATACGCAATTATTGAAGGGTTTTGGAAAATGCTAGTGAATATGCTTTGGGAAGATGACTCTCTTAGCAGTATGAGTTGAGGTAGACCAAAGAAAAGGGGGGATGATGTCATAGCATATGTAAGGGATTATAACGGACTCACAGCGGGAAAAATCCTAAGAGCCCTTGAGCATATGAGTTCTTAGGTCATGACTGAGTAGGTGGAGAAAGGGGTAGAGAGTGAAAGAAGGTGTCAAGGTATTGGGTACCAGGTCCTGGGCTCCCAAAACTCGGAGGGTCATGGAGCCATTACAGGAATAAGAAAAAAAATGGAAGACCAGTGGGTTTGGGAACGAGGACAATGAATTTAGTTGTCTAAATTTTATTTGAATATTTTTCTTTAATTTTTTTACTGTAATATACGTCAGTGTGTTTTTAAGTCACTTTTAATACACTTTAGTATGACTATGTATCGATGTCTATTTTATAGCGATTTCAAGCCCATCTCCAGGTTGAAAGAGTGATACCCATTGAGTTCTCCACGTCTTCAAGAACCAAATCATTCTGCAACATCTGAGCAACCCCTCTGATGATTTGTCAGTAGCTGAATCATCATCAAGATCATGATTCTATTTGGAAATTGACATGCCTTAACTGCTTACTGTGAATGTAGCCTAAATACAAGACTAGTGTCATAATAACACAAATAAATGGCCAAGCTTTTAACATTAGAATGGCAGAGAAGAACAAGCAACATTTCAACAAATTTATTTCTAAAATGTATTTTCAATTGTGCTTTTACCAATAAGAATATGATAGTGTTCTGATCAATATGCATGTACAAACATAGTGCTCCCCCTACATGCAAACACAAACTATGTTTTCTTCTGGATCCCTTTAACTTGCCTCTCTACCAGGAGCTGGATGATTTATCATTTACTGATTTGTCTATACTCAGGGATAAGAGACAGAATTGAGTCACCCAAGAAAAGAGGAAGATGGAGACACAGAATTGGGTGGGAGGTCCGTCAAGGACTGCTGGTGAGCAAAGGCTTTATAAGTCTCTAGTGGGCTGAGTAGGCTGAGGGTTCACAGCAGAAGACACAGGTCTGTAGAGAAAGCAGCAATGTTGTATACAGCTTCTCCACGGCTGCTTTAGACCCTCAGAGGCTGGGCCCCTCCAAGCTTTGTTTTCTATAACAAAATGGAATACCTCCTGTGGAGTCTAACCACACATTCCCTCTGCATTACGCCCACGCCTTTGCTTCATTATATCTAGGAGGACTGAGACAAAGAGATTTACAATAAACTTCATCCAAGCCAAGAAATGAAACACAGCCTCCCTGTGAAATAGGAAGTTACAGCTGGATACTCATGGAACTTTTCTCATAACACGTGGTTCTACGTTGTTTTTTTTGTGTGTGTGAGGAAGATCAGCCCTGAGCTAACATCCATGCCAATCCTCCTCTTTTTGCTGAGGAAGACAGGCTCTGAGCTAACATCTATTGCCAATCCTCCTCCTTTTTTTCCCCCAAAGCCCCAGTAGATAGTTGTATGCCATGGTTGTACATCCTTCTAGTTGCCGTATGTGGGACACCGCCTCAGCATGGCTGGAGAAGCGGTGCGTCGGTGCGCGCCGGGGATCGCCAGTAGCGGAGCATGTGCACTTAACCGCTAAGCCACGGGCCGGCCCCTCTAAGTTGTTTTTATGTTGAAGCTTTTCCCTGCCTCCCACTTGAGGAGCACACGCCGCCTGATTCTACAGATTGGCTCTGCATCATTCTCCGTCACGAAGCCATGGTGTGTGTTTATGCTTCAGTAACAAAGTGTTTATAGTTTGCCATCTGCATAAAAACTGCTGGAGGACTTTACAGTGAGAATCCCTACGGTTTATACAGCTGCATGGTGAACATGGAAATCTAAGATATGAAACAGTGTTCTTTCATTCTATAGGCTTTGAGTTTTGATAAAGTGATAATATCGTGCCGAAGAGCGATATTTTGTGGACTATCCATCATGAAATAAACATGGCACATCTTTTATAGTACCAGCTACTGGAAGACATTTTAAAATAATACTTGTATAACTGTGAACTGTGTTATCTTTCTTTCTTGCAGGTAATAAGGTTTCATTAGGAAGTAAACTTTTCAAGTTATCAATTTTAGAATTCCTGATTAACCGTGAGAGATTTTGTTCTTTCTTACAGGTCAAATCATCTTTAAAAGGTGTATGATGCAGCAGGAGATATGGTGCCTTTGAAATTCTTTCATAACCAATATTACAATTCTAATTGAAGTAGGGCAAATATGCCATTTATCCTTAATGTCATTATAGTTACCCAAAAAATTATAAAATTTAGGGATGCTCTGAAATTCATGGAAGAAATTTAACATTTTTCACCCACTCAGGCTAACATCTGTAAAGTGAATGTACAGGGAAGATGCATGGTGTTCTCAAAACTATACAACATTATTTTAGACAATTCGGAAACAGGGGAAATTATCCATAATTTTGTCATCACAATTTACCAAATAATATCATTATATTATTATATATTTATATTACTATCTTCTAGTCACTTGTATTTTCTATATTATTGCGGTCATGTAAAATTGTATATACTTTTTCACTTTATATTATAGCATATTCTTTTTCATTCTGTTACATATTCTTTTTTTTTCCAAACTAAATTTCTCACCATCCTACACTCTGGACGTACTCATTTAGACTTTTATATTGACTGTTTCCTCTACCCAGAATGCCTTTGATTGAGGGTACATTATAGCCTACACTGCAGTAACAAACAGCCGCAAACTAAGTGACATAACCGAACAAAAGTCTATTTCTTGATAACTCCTTATGAAAATGTTTGTGTGGGGGTGGGGGACAGGAGGCTGGCAGAGGGAGTACTTTGCCCCAGCAAGTCTCTCAGAGACACAGATTGATGCAGACTTGGCTGGGGATTTCATCTCTTTACATTTTCTCATCAATAAAATGTGAATAAGAATGTCTACCCTTGCACGTCTGTCAGGAGGGTGAAATACATACAGCACTGTTCTGATGTCTCAAAGAGAACATTCCTTCTCTCTCCCTCTCCCCTTCTCCCTATTCCTCTCTCTCCTCAACACCTGTAACAAACATATTCTATCTCTCATTTTGCCTCCTACGATAATTACTTTTTTGCCTGCTAGATTTTAAATGCTGGAGGCCACAGCATGTCTTTTTCATTCTTGTGTCTGTGTAAGCATCTAGCAGAGTTTCCAGTAGACATTTAAAAATACTTGTTGAATGGAGAGAACTCATGATTCTCCAATATAGGAATGGCTTTTTTTTGTGCCTTGAAAACAGAGGTGTTCAATAAACATGTATTAAATGAGTGAGTGAATGAATGAATGAATGATGTTGCTCTGCATCTCAGACAAAGATGTAGGCATTGAGTGTTCCATGTTAGTAAACTTTTTTATTTTTAAAAATTTTTAATAAATTTATACCCCCTTCACCCATTTCTCCCAACTCCCCATCCTCCACCTCTAACATATTCTTAACAAGAATTCTTAATAATAATATATTTATACCTCCTTTAGCCATTTCTCCCACCCCCTGCCCTGTTTCTGTCACATATTCTTAATTAACTTTATTGTTAATGGCTGCATATCATTCCACTGACATTCACTTATTTTGAGATTAACAATTTTTTATTTCTATAAGTAATGGAGTGATTAATATCTTCCTACACATAGACTTTTTATTATTTTGAAACAGGTCTTTAGAATAAAATTCCAGGAATTAACTGGCTCAAATAACATGTACATTTTGGCGCTGAGAGCACGTTTTCAAACAGAATTGTTTCACCTTATAATGGTACCAGCAAGGCATATAGGTGCGCTATCATTTAATATTTTAGTCATTCAGTAGTGAAAAAAATATAGCTCTTTATTTTACCTTTCTTTGATAGTAGCTACATTTGACATGGTTCTATATCTTGTTTACTATTTGCAATTCATATTGGGTGATGTTATTTTGTTTTGGACTAATAATTTATAAACTGAGATCTTAATTAGAATTAAGATATAATTAAGATAAGAATTAAGAAGTGTACAAAATTATACATCCTTTCTACATATCTTTCTAAGAATAACTCTTTGTCAAAACGGTTTATTATTTTTACCTTATTGACATATTCAAGTTTAAAACTTGTATATAACAAAATATATGTTCTTCATCTTTTTTGTCTCTTCTGTGTGGTTTCCAAACTTAAAAATTCGTCTTCTTTTGCAGATCTCTAACACATAACCAACCTATTTCTGAGTTTTTCCATTGAAATTTTTTATATTTAATGCTTCCTTATATTTGTTATTTTATTTGGTGCATTTT